AGACTGCCTCTAGTGACCTTGTATTTTGTTTAAACATTGGTGTTAATACTTCATATAGATAATGTGCAGCACAGATTACAACAGTATGTGCTGCGTATTGTATAATTTATGAACTATTAAACTTAATTCTTATGTTTTGAGGTTGTGAGTTATAACTAAACAGAATTTAAACTGCCAGCAAATGAAGTTTTTTTAGATTTTTTTTTTTCTGGATTAAACTGTTTTGTGGGGCTGGGGGCAGACAGACCCAAAGCCAAATACTTTCCACACTCACCCTCAGCATGCTGAGAGCTCAGGCTTTGTAAATTTAAATATCTTTTATGTTCTCCACATGTAGAAGCTCTGCTGGTGGAGTTCCAAAACACAGGTCATCTGGCTGATTTTGTGCTGTACATGAGAGGGGGACCCACTGAGGGCCAACACTTCAGCTCCCGCTGAACTCCAGGGATGCCGGAGGAAGGGCTGATGGTTGCATGACACCGAGCAGTGTCAGTCCATAAAATCCACAGGCAGCACAGCAGTGCTGACTACAAGTCTGAACTGCCCTCAGAAATGGGGCTGAGGCTTCCTGACTGCTCCTTTTTTATCCTGCTCAATGAGACAGCATTATATTTGTGGGCAGCACGGAGCTCAAGGCAGGCCCAGGAAAATGCTCGCCCTGCTCCTCTCCAGGATCTGCCCCTGCTGCTGAACTGAGCTGCGAGGGCAAAGCCCCTTTGCTGTGTCTGTGTGAGCCAACACCAGCACAGGCAGCTGGGAAGAATGTAAAGCTAAAAGCTGTGCAAGTAATTGGGGGAGGGAGGAATCACAGAATCATTAAGGTTGGAAAAAGCCCTGTTAAGATCATGGAGTCCAACCATTGCCCCAGCACTGCCGAGGCCACCACTAACCCACGTCCCCAAGTGCCACAGAGACACGTTTTCTTGAACACTTCCCCCACCACTGCCCTGGCCAGCCTGTTCCAATGCCTGACCACTCTTTCAGTGATGAAATTTTTCCTAATACCCAGCCTGAACCTCCCCTGCTGCAACTTGAGGGCATTTTGCTTTGTCCCAACCCTTGTTCCTTGGGAGAAGAGACTGACACCCACCTCAGCACAACCTCCTCTCAGGCAGTTGTAGAAAGTGATAAGGTCCCCCCCAGCCTCCTTTTCTCCAGACTTAACAACCCCAGTTCCCTCAGCTGCTCCACACCAGACCTGTGCTCCAAGGATCTCTTAAGAAAGATTAACTTACTAATATTGTTTTCCTTGGTTCCTTATGTAGCCAATGGAGATTCTCACATGCAACTTCCAACTCAGAATAAAGGGTCCTCCTATACCTTGAGTGTGAGTATTGGGCTCTCTCTCTCTCCCTTAGTGGCAACAGATTGTCCTTGTCAGAGATGCTGTGGTATAACTGGGTTTAGAAACAGACTTTTCCCCTCACCTCAGTTCTCCTACGTAAATACCACCTGATGCTACACTGCCCCAAGGCTCTGCAGAGCAACACCTCCAACTGTTTTAGTTTGTGGCCGGTACAAACCATTCTGTCAGTCACCACTTTGCATGGAGTGCCAGGAGCTGCTGGCACAGGGTCACTGAAGTGAAGAGGAACACTGAACACCACACGGTTTGGCTCTCAGGAGTGACATGTCTCACTCCCATGCTTGAAGTTTACACAGGAGCACTTAAGCAAACAGCTTTATGGGGGAGGAAGGAGGAATCCAAAAAAACAGTAAACCTGGAAGTCCTGAAGAGCTGACAGGTGAGACTACTGCCCTCTGAGTGTGTTGCAGCAGGCAGCTCCTGAGGTAGCCAGCCCTTACCATTCCTCAGAGCTCTCATCCATCCTCAGGGCTCAGAAAAAAACACCAAGCCTTGGCCAGCTCCCCGTCTCCCTCGTGGACACTCGGCATCTGGGGCTCTATCCAGCAGCTGAACCACCAGAAGGGCTTTTGCAGATTACCCTTCTCCATAAGTCCGACTTTCCCCGACACGTTTTATCGTTTGCAAGGATTACTCGGGAGATGAAACAAAAGTTAATTACACCAAGCAATGGGTCGGGAAAATGGATGGATCTGCTCTCCCTCCAGCTGGGCTCTCGTTGCGTGGCAGCAGGACCACATCCTATGGGAGGGACACAGGATATGTTAGGAAGGCACATTCGAGCCATCAGCCTGACACTTCTTTATTACAGTGTATTTATTTTTTATCATGTGCTTTGACAGGAGCCTCATAAAGTGTTATGCTCCTTCTGTAAGGTCGAAGTCTTGTGACCTTCCGTGATTTTAGAGAGAAGGAACATAATTTTTGAGGGCATGTTTATTATTTCTGTAAACAGTCTGTTTTTCATGCCAAGCGAACAGTTTTTCTGTATGTACTTAGATGACAGCTCAATTTTACTGGCTCACTTTCCTGACCAAGCCTTGCCTGCCAAATGTTTTTGATCATACTCTGGCAAACAAAACAATATTAATAGGAGAGCTGAGCAAATAATCGCCAGAAAACTGCTGATTTTTTTAAATCTCTTTATTGCTTCCATAATATCCCTGAATCAAATGCAGTTTCCTTGAGTTCAATTACAGTTTTAAAGCCCGCTATTTTTTTTTTTTTAATTAAAAACAAAATTACTCTGTGGAATCAGAGAAGTCATTTCCAAAACAGTTAGCTGTGACTAAGCTGGTCCATCACATTGTGTTGCTCATGTCCCCAAAGAGCCAAATGTCCACACTGTTCCAGATGATTGCACAGTTCAACCTCTGGACAGACAGCTCCCACATCTGTTTTCACTGGCACAGATGTTCCTGGCTGGTAGACAAGACCACAGCCAAACCAAATTTGTTTTAAAGTCTGAACACTCCACTTTTGCCACATGTACTGATTTCTGAAAAATCATCCAGCCCCAGAAGGGTTTGGGTGGGAAGGGACCTTAAAGCTCACCTTGTTCCAACCCCCTGCCATGGGCAGGGACACCTTCCACTAGCCCAGGTGCACTGAAGTAACTTCCTTCCCCTTCCCATGGTGAAGATGTGTTCCAAACAGGTCTGTGCCCTGCATTCACACACAATCTGATGCTCTGTGAGTGCTCCAAGGCTTTGTTCTCTGCTGGTCCATAAAAACTCCTGCACTGCCCTGCAGATGCAGCGAGCTTGAAGCAACTGACCCCTCAACTAAAGGGTTTCTGTAGTAGCACCAAGCTCATAAAATCCCTCCCCGTTCCCCACTGTTATGCCAAGGAAGGCAGAACTGTGGTATGTGCACCTGACTGCTGCTTGTAGAACCTTCTGGAAACCTTATAGGTGAGCACACAGCAAGTGTTACGACACCAGGACAGCCCTGAGGGCACTGAGCTACAACGTGCCGTGTTCTGCTCTGTTCCTGCACGACCAAGAGCGTGAGAGGGATGAAGGCTCTGGCTCACCACCCCCTCCACAAACACTCCACTTCCTCTTCTAAGGGTGGGTTTATTCAAGGGCTTGGATGGCACTTAATGAAAATCCCAATCAAACGTATCACACAAATCTGCAGACAGCTGTACCTGGAACAACCCCCTGCTTAAACAACCTGTTATCCACCTCTAAGGGCTGGACTTTATGATCTCAGAGATCCTTTCCAACCTGGCTGATTCTATGATTTGAGCAATATTTCCACAAGGACCAAGAGCTGTCCCTTCCCTCTGGGCACCCAGCTGCAGGTGTACCTGCATAAATAAATACCAGGAAATTCCTACAAAATTTCCCTTTGTCGAAGTGTAACTCACAGTGAGGTTCCTGTGGGGTTTGTTCAGCACCTTAATGGTCAGAACCCCCAAACTTTCACTTCTGCAGCTCAGCCTCCCCGATGTTCTTCCTACAGCATTCCTGTGGCAGGTGGGGTTGTTTAGGCAGCCAGAGGATTCACAGTGCCTCACTCTGCTCCTTGGTATTTCCAGATGTTTTGTTAGAAAGTAATTCATCTTTTTTTGTCCTTGTTCTTTTCTTTCCCAACAAATATCCCCGTCCCCCCCAAAAAAAACCAAAAAAACTCACTTCTTCAATCCCTCCTCTTTCAACATCTCCTTGAGGAAGGTGCCATTCCATTCTGCTGAACTGATGGAAAGAAAACTGCTATTTAGTTAATAATTGCTTCCAATCTGAGATAGAGAGAATACCCATTCCGGCAGCAAATCAGCTGCTTCAATGCACATCAAGGGCCTTAGCAGCTCTTGAGTTTAAGAACCTGAACACATTTTGTATAATATGATTCTAAAATTTTCACCGAGCATTATGGGGAACCTGGCATTTATTACCTCTAGGTCAGAAAAAACAGTCCAATCTAATGCAGAAGTCACTGAAAAAACCTTTCAATTGATTAAAAAAAAAAAAAAAAGCTGTAGACTGAAAAGCTTAAACCGTAAGAAAAATTACTACTAGAATCTCAACCAGAATAAACTGTCTCATTTAAGATATTTCCACTAATGCTCAAGGCTGACTGGTAAGAGTGTATGGTTTAAATTAACTCCCTGCAAACTTACAGTTGCCATGTTATCCCAGTAAAATCTATTTTCCTCCACTGTGGCTCATATTAATTTGAAGTTGTAGAGTTGCAAGTAACTTCAACCATCACAGGCCTTATAAGGTGGAAAATGTTTAAGCATCTGTTTTAGAAAGCAAGAACATTACACACAGGTGAGTGGTGAGAACAGATTTCTGAAATAAATCATTTACACCTCCACCTACCACAACGTTATTGTATTGTTACCTTTCTGGAAGAACACACACCTCTCACAGGGTGGAGAAGAGAGTCTCAAAATTCCTGAATCCCCTCCTCTGGGAAAGAATTCACCCCAGCCAAAGCTGCTGACGTTGACTATCTAATTCCTTTATCATTATTTTAAAGTGGACACTCAGATTTTTCCCCATTAGTTTACCTGTGCTGTTGTAAAATGGAGGGTGATTGTTAGCTCTTAATTATTAAAAATGCTTTAATGACAAGTGTGGGGAAGGTGAACTACAGAAACATCTACCCTTTGGGTGATAACAAACCCACTTGGAACAACTTCTCACTTGCCTTAGCAGCCTATCAGACCTGTAAAGGCCAAAGCACAGTTTTAAGGTCTTGGCATTAAATGTGAAGCACATAAAAACTAAAGAGGTGAGGAGGAAACTCAGCACAAAGGCTCATAAAAAAATAATTTAAAAAAAAAAGTAATAAGAAAATTCTACAGAAGACCAGTAACATGACAGGATATGAAATGGTCACTTGTCCTGCTCTGAAACTACACCCAGTGGGGCAGTGAGGGTTTCCATCCTCACACTGCTGTATCACCAACAGGCTAAATCTCTTAGAAACCTGTGACAGCAGGCACCATTTATCTTTCCCAGGAAAAGGAGAGAGTTCCAGCAGAATACTCAGGATCTAGAAGTTCCACCAGCTCCAGTGACTCTGCACACAAACCTGCTTGCACTCAGGATCCTCTCTCCACACTCCCAACAGCATTGCCCCGTTCCACTGAGGATGTGTCTTGCCCCAGGAGCAGCCTCTCCAGCTATTTTCTCTCACTGTTGGCATTGTTTCATTCCATCTGCTGATGATCCCTCGGAGTCTTCTGCTGCCTTCCCATCATGCTGATGTTCATGGCAAACAAGAGAGATATTGTACAGGGCACGACGTGCCTGCATAAACAGTGCAAATGAAAGGCTCCCAGTGAAAACCTGAATCATCCTTGTAAAGGCCGTGTTTATGCTGGAAGAGAACAGGGCTGTCCCCAGGGAGCAAGTGGGTGGCAGGGAACAAAAAGAGGAATAAAGCATTCAAATCACAGAATCACAGAGTCACAGAATGATTTGGGTTGGAAGGGATTTTAAAGATCATTTAACTCCTCCCACCCCACCATGGGCAGGAACATCTTCTACTAGCCCAGGCTGGTCCAACCTGGCTTTGGACACTTCCAGGGATGGGGCAGCCACAGCTTCTCTGGGCAGCCTCAGAGAAGCCTCCCCACCCTCACAGCCAAGAATTTCTTCTTAATATCTAATCTACACCTGCCCTCTCTCACTTTAAAACCATTCCCCCTTGTCCTGTCACTATCTGCACACATAAAAAGTCCCTCTCCCCCTAAAGCCCCACAAAATCCAGTGCTTGTGCACGGGAGATAAGGACCATGAGCAATTTGGATGCAAAAATGAAGGCAAAAGTACAGAAGTTTCGAACCTTACTTTACAGATTATCCCCATGCAGTTATTCTTCAGATACCTGCTCGCTTGAAATGGGGAAAAGAACTCTGCTGACCCAGCATCACCCTGCAAAACCCCACCACACTGCACGGGGGGGATTTCCAAGCTCCCGAGATGAAGCACAGGAACAGTGGAGCTGAAACCCATCCTGCCCCTCTGCCCTCAGCAATCCAAGGGATATAGAAAGAGGACAGGACCTTAGAAGTGATTCAGAGTTGAGAAAGGAACAGCTGCACTGTGTTCCTTTGCCACACGGTGGCATGTGCTGATGGAAAATAAGATCCAGTCAGGAAAGGTCTGCAAGGCCTGAACAGGCCTGGGGGCAGCAGGTTCAGCTTCCCTGGAGTTACTGCTTTATGTCAGGTTGTCTAAAACCCATGACACAGGTTCCAACTCGGCCCTACAGCATTAGAGAGTCTCATCGCCGAACCTGAACTCACACTTATTCCTGGGAGAGAAAAAAAGTCTCCTTGCCCCCCTTTACTGAGCTACTCTTACTGAGCAGGAATCCTCTTCTTGGCCGTACCTGGGAGCCTGTACCTCATCATGAGCGTGAGTTTTCTGCTGGTTCATCCCCTGAACTAAAAAGCCCCATATAAGAAGCAGCAGCCACTCTGCGCCACTGCACAGGCACAAGTGTTTGTGCAGCTGCACCACGAGCCAGAGCAAGGACACAGTGGGGTGAAAACATCATGTTTTTCCCTATTTCAGGCAAGAAAGAGCAAAGCCAGCATTCATTTTCATGCCTCTGTGGTTGTATCTTTACAACACAACAAAGAAAGCTTTGTGCTTTCTCCCACGAATTTCGTAAATTCTTTCTGAAGCGCTCAAAAGATTGTTTATGTGTGTAATTATGTAACAATAAACACAAATTTTGGGAGCAGATCCCATGGCGTGATCACAGCCTGCGCTCGGCATTCCAGCCCCGAGCCAGCCAAACCCTGAACACACGAGAATGATAATGGATGGCAAGGAATCACACTCGGCAGGACGGGACACTCCATGTGTGTCCTGGAGTTCATTTCAAAAATGCAGCTGGTGAGTTTTAGTAACAGTTTCCGACAGGCAGACACAGCAAGGGCAGAAGGAAGAGTCACGCAGCCATTATTTTTTTGGTTTAGGAATCAGTATTATTGTAGGAATGTGGTTTGCTAACGCTGCCAAAAACCAAGACATGTTTAAGCCACTTCAGTGCTAATGGGACTGGCACGTTGTAAGAAGGAAGCCCTGCTTCCTTCAGCTCAGCAGAAAGGAGCAAGTGTTCTTCTCAGGATTTCCAACAAGTTCCCAAATCTGTCTTTACTTTTAAAAAACGCAAGTTAAAAGCACGTAACCCCTGCTAGTGTTTATGCAGTGATATGATGTACTAGAGACACCGCTTCTAGGTGCTAATGTACTAATGTGGCTAATGAGACAGACACAGTGTACTGCCAAAAATCTGAGAGTACCTTGAAAACCACAGCGTAACTTCCCAAGCGTGTTACCAGGACTCTCACTCCAAAAACATCCTGATGACCCTCAGACAGATGTTCCAGGCCAGCACTGTAATGCACTGCAGAGGTTTATGGCTCTCACTTCTCCTTTAATCAGCGGCTGTGTATTCAACTCCAGTGTTAAAATAAACCATTACGAACCCATTCTAGTCTGTGTCCAAGACCTAAATACTTTTTATGTCTGTCAAAAAACTTGAGCTAAGCCTCTCAAAGCCCTGGCTGGTATCTGTCTTGCACCTCCTCAGCAGAACCCTTGGTAACACACCAACAGCACAGCAGGACGAAGTGAGACCTTCGGGGTTTCAGTGTGACAACACCCTCCACCTGCCGGCGCCGTTTACCTGGAAAACATTTGGACATTTTTAATCGAATTCCCAACCTCTGACTACTAAGAAGAACGATTACTCTAAAAACGTAAAGCCGTGTCAGTAAAAATATTCACACATACACAAACACAAACACATGAACACACACACATAAACACACACAGAGACACACACACACAAACACAGACATACACACATATAAACACAAACACATACAAACACACCGAACACAGAGACACACACACAAAAAACTGCACATACAGACACACACACACATGAACACAGACACACACAAACACACTGAACAGACACACACAAATGCAGACACACAGAGACAAACACACACACACACATACACGTATAGACAAACACAAACACACACAGACGCACACATACAAAAATGCAAACACATAAAGACACAGACACACAAATGCACAGACACAAACACAGAGACAAACACAGAAACACATATAAAGACAAACACACTCAAATACACAGACACACACACAAATACACACACACAAATACACACACAAACAGAAACATAAACATATACACAAATGCACATATAAACACAAATACACACCGACACACACACATGAACACAAACACATAGACAGACACAAACACACACACAGACACAAAGACAGACACACACATGAACACAAACACACAGACGCACACACAAAAACACGCACACACAAAAACACACACACACACACACACATGAACACAAACACACACACATGAACACAGACACACACACATGAACACAAAAACACAAACACTGCCGCCCCAGGCCCCTGAGGCCGCGGGTCAGGGGGTCGCGGGCTCGGCGGTTCCAGCCCCGGCCGATGCTCCCTCAGCCCCCTCATCCCCCTCATGGGCCCGGGCTCGCTCGCACCTCCCTCCGCCGCTCTGCTCTCCTCCCCTCAGAGCCCAGCGCATGCTCTCTCTCTGCTGCCCGTGCTCTCTGCCCGTGCCCGCCGGGAGCGGCCCGGGCGGGCCCAGCTCGAGGTGGGTCCGCGCCCCCCGCCCCGCTCCGCTCCGCGCCCCCGCCCGGCCCTGCCCGGCCCTGCCCGGCCCCGCCATCCCGCCCCAACCCGCGCCCCCCGCCCGCACCCGCGCTTCGCCCCCGTTCGGGACTGACCCTGCTCTGCTCTCCCCGGAGCCTCCCCCAGGCACAGCCCGGCACCCCCCGGGGGAGGCGCGGGGACCCGGCCCTGCTGCTGCGAGATAATCACGGAGCCAGAAAATCACAGCATCCCTCAGGGGTTGGGGTGGGGAGGGACCCGTCCAGTCCCACCCCCTGCCAAGGGCTGGGCCACCATCCGCTGTCCCGGGTTGCTCCAGCCCGGCCTTGGTGACACCTCCAGGGATCCAGGGGCAGCTGCAGCGTGAATCACAGCCTGGAGATGCTTTCAGTGTGGTAAATAATCGGTGTGATTTCAGCTTCGCCCAGGCCAGCGGCCGTCAGGGAGAGAGAGGGCCGTGACTGATGGCAGGGCAGGCGCGGGGGAAAAGGATTTTCCCCGCTGTGTGCAGTGTTTTGGTGTTTTGTGGGGCTGTGCCCAGCTCTGATCATCACTTAACCCCGAAAAACGCAGCTCAGTCAGTCCCCTTGGGAGGGGAGAAGGCAGACACACGTATGTCCGTCCAAACAGGAGAGTAACTTTTAGGTGTAGTGATTACTGCTTTTGGCAGCGGGCCGTCACTATGCTCTTCAGTGGAGTAACAGATAAAAAAATTACGTGATATATTAATAATTTAGATTTCGAGTTTTCCCCGTTTTCTCCGTTTCTTTTGCTTTCCTTAGACAGGGGTGTGTTTTCGGGAGCCCTGCCCTCCACATCCGTGGAGTAATTAATCCCGAAACAGCATGCACAAAATAGATGTGTTTGCAGTTTTGTGTTGCTTGAAAGCAATTTTTTAGGTTATGATTCAGGCGGTGGCTGCCCCTGGATCCCTGGAAGTGTCCAAGGCCAGGTTGGATAGGGCTTGGAGCACCCCGGGATGGTGGAAGGTGTTGCTGCCCAGGGCAAAGGGTTGGGACTGGACTGGCTTTAAGGTCCCACCCAGCACAAACCATCCAGTGATTCCGTGATTTTTTCCACGCTTGTTTTCATCAGTAGTTCATGTGAAACGTACACGGTAACTGCATGTGTAAGACAAGATGGAATAAGATATAACAGATAAGAATAACATAGGAAATAAGAAATAAGACAGTCTTCAGGGCCGGCTGCTGAGAGGGTATCACCTCAGAGATATAATTAGCAATGTAATCCTCTCTCATGCTGTGCTTGCTTGGGTGGATGCATGAACCGACCTGAATAGCATTTCTTCCACGTGTTTGAGAAATATTTTACTTCACTGAAAAATCCAATGATACCATTATAAGTTTTTTTTTTTTTCTTCTTTTTATGTAATACTAGTAAAATCATAAATAAGAGGAGTTGTCTAGAAACTGTTCAATCTGACATGGATGAAGGTAGTTGCTGGGTAAGAATGTGCTGCAAATAATATATATAAAAAAATGGACTGCAAGCTCAGATAAGGTACAAGATTGCCTGCATCTTTTAGTTTGAGCTGGCAAATATACTCCCAGTTTCTGGCAACAGAATCATGGAATGGTTTGGGTTTGGGAGCTTAAAGATCACCTCATTCCAACCCATGGGCAGGGACACCTTCCGCTAGACCAGGTTTCCCAGGCACATTTCCCAGGCACAGATTTTGTGTTTCTTT